TGTACAATTCTTGTATAATGTTAAAAAATTAACCGTTACTTCGACAGCGTCATTTACAACTAAATTTAATGAATGAGAGAGACGCACGAGATACAGAAAAAGCTCTATAATTTATTTTCCTTAAATTTAGGATTTATGTATCCATTTGTCATAAAAATTTGTCTTTCCACTTTTTTCCCGAGACTACAAATATTCAAGTACAAAGTAACTGGTTTCGACTTATTTCTACTTAAGAAGTAGTTAAATAATTAAGCGATTAGGGAATTGGGAACGTAAACAAAACCCTGACGAAAGAGCCAGAATATTACTTAAACAAAAGCTTAACCGAACCAATCTATAGCCGAGTACAGTGGGGACTGATTTCTTCTAATACTGTGTTAGATGTAATAAAGACAGAAATTTTTCCAGTTCGATGAGAGTGACCGAAAATTTGTAAATTTTTGAAATTTCTGAGGATACTTGGTGCTAAAACGAATTAGTTAGAAAACAAATGACTATTAAGTTTAACATATTTAGACTTTTACAGCTATGGTGAGAAACATTTAAAATCTACAACAGCCCCGTCGCGTCCTTTGAGATATACTAGTGATGCGACAAAAGAGGTATTTGACATTGACTGGTATCGGCACCCTGGGGATTTGGCAGTCCACGTGTATGCATGCTCTGCAACTGTCTTCGATTCCATCTGTTAGCCACTCGTATTTGACTAAGTGCATTGTTTTAAGATTTAAAAAGTAAAGAATATTTTATATTTTTATGTACATTTCTTTGCAAAGCTATATTTAATTATAATTTTCTTTAAAAGTATATTCATGTAATTGAAGAATATTTTGTATGTACCAGTGTGGCTACACGCCTGTTTTTATCGTTATTATTATTATTAGTCTGTATAGTTTTAGTTTAATTTAAATTCTAGAATTTTCCTTCTTTCCGATTTCTGTGTTCCTTTGTCTCGGACTTCTGAGAACTCGCCTCACCTCTAACCCATCAGGAGGTAGCGTTAGAACAAAAGGAGAAAACGAGGCTGGAGGGGAAAAGGAAGAGTTTCTAGAAGCATTCTTAGACCGGACTCGGAGAGAGACAGACGAGTGGCAGCAGGTTCTTGAAAAGAAAATCGAGGAGCGCTGCAGAAGGAGGCCGTAAGAAGCGGATCGGTAGAAGAATCCGGTCGACGATTATAGAGAAAAAACCCCAAAATGGACCCAAATTGTTCTAAAAGGAGAACAGATGAGAAAGAGAAGCCGAGACGAGGAACGGTGGAGAACCAACTGGAAAATTGGGTACCCTTCTGTCCTTTAATTCTTCTCATTTTCCCTTCTACTTTTTCTATTTTTAGTTTAAGTTAGGTTAAGGTTTACGCGTGCAAATAAATTGTCGGGAAGTAGTTATCGAGAAATCAGCTACCGGTCTATTGATATACCTGGTCACTCAAGATTGTGGAACCGTTTGAAGGAGAACAGCGGGAATCCGAACCTATTCTGTATATATATTTCAAATTCAGCAAGAAATTAAACTCGTTTAATTGGTAAAACGTGTATGTGTTTACCTGTCCGCGTTGAACATTTCACACCAGTACATCCACCACATTTTATTTCACAAAGTAAGTTTTTATTATTTTATTTTTAATTGTAGCCCTTATATCGTGGGTAGCAATTCGGAATGTAATTGTGATATTAAAAATGCATTTAGAGAAGTCTACGGTTTTTACTGGCTTATCGAATAAACGATACGAATGGACCCTAGACATCACTGATGCACAATTGACTGATTGCCCCTGGATGTCGGCTTCTTACAGAAACACAGCTTCCCTATCATCAAATGTCACAGCACGCCCCTGGATTAGTAGTCACATAAGTTGGGAATTTTATTGAATTTGCATTAAAAAAATTTTTATCTGTTCAATTCAGCTCTCCCAAGAGTAAATCCTGAGTGTGCCACTGCTACTAAAGCAATGCCAGTAAAATGTAACAATGATCATTTTGTCTTTTGTTTATTTTAAGAATTTATGAAGTTTTTAAACTCTTATTAATGATTGGCCAATCCTTCTGGTTAATATCCTCACTTTCAAGATAATTGTCGACCAGGTGAGCCCTGTGTGGACAAGCTTTGTCAGCCATAAAAATGAATTGAGAGCCAACTGTGTCCCTGAAAAGTTTAACATAGTGCTATAAGATCTCATTCCTATACCTCCCAGTAGTCAGGGAGCCTCTGTCAAACACATGGAGAGGCTTGTGGCAACAAGCATCATGTTGGATGGCCACAACCATCCAACATGATGCTTGTCCAGATCATGACATCTCTGTTGCCATAGCAGTCCATTTTTTGGATATTAGAGAAAAAGAATTGAGTACCAGGTTCTCTCTAGATGAAGGTGCATTGAGAATCTGTTTCCAGGCTGAATTGCAACTTGGAGTTGAGAAAAGAACCCCATTGAAGTCTGGTACAAGGCTGATGTCTGCACCATGCTAAATGCACTCTCTTTTATACTGAATATACTTTTATACTGAAATACTGAAAGGAGTGGGATGCAAACAGCAAGTCTTCTAGCGAAATACCCTCTCTCATGAAGCCTACGGGAAACAGTAACTCTTGAAACTCTGGTTCTAGTGATGGCATGCAGCTCAAGAGATGGCTGTGAAGCTGTAGCAGTCCTGTGGTGTCTCTCTGAAAGTGCTAAATAATGATCTTCATTGGTCATCATGGCTCTTGGACAACCTTGCCCAGGCCTTCTCAATATGGATCCAGTGTCCTTAAACTGTTTCCACAAATTTCAGACAACATTGGGCATTACATTGAGTTCTTTAGCAATCTGCACTTATAATTGCTCTGCCTCTAATCAGCCCACAATTCACCTCATTCTGTCATCAAAAGACATTCATGGCTACTTATTTTACCTGATTGCTTATGAAATTGGACCAACTCTTGCAAGAAAAACAACGAATGTTGCTGAGGAGTACAAGCAAACTAATTATGGACAAAGTCACATGCTTTTCTTGCCTTCTTCTGTCAAAGCTCTGCCCACATGCACATGTAAGCTTACATATTCAACACTAAAAATTTGCATTCTTATTCGGCGGCATAATTTGTACTTTTGGTTTGTTACTTTTTGTTAAAATAGACAAAAGTGCAAATTCTCTTAAATTTGAACATCAGTATATTATATTTTTACATATATTAAAAATAAATTTGTTTAATGACTTCCAAACTATGCTAATGTATTAACTCCCTACATAAATCAACTGACTCCTTCAGGATTACTAGCAACCACATTGGGAACATATCATAGTAGAAAGTAATGTTGTTTTAGTCACATTTATGGACTTTAGTTTTAGTCATTCTATATTCCTATATAGAACTATAATGTAAGGCCAGATTTTTGGAGTTTTTCACTGCTGAAGAATGTCTACTATATTCTCCATATCTCAGTTTAATTGTGATGATTTTAAGCTAAGTATTTTATATAGAGTAGATTAATCCTATATAATAATAAACAATAAATACACCTTATAAATTAAAACGATAAGATAATGAAAAGAAACAAAAATTGTATTCTGTAAGAAAAAATATTTGCAAGTTCTTGAATTATAATAAAAAAAACACGAAAATTTCCATACAAATATTTTTATGAAAAAAACATTTAATTTTGATTATAACTTCAATTACTATTCAACTTACAAAAATACTTTTACAAGAACAGTTAATTTAAGCTTTTTACTAATAAAAAAATAATATATTTTATAGAAAATTTCTATAAAATTTTATTTTGTATTATTATTGTTATTATTATAAAAAATATATTCAAATACACTAAAACAATTGTAATTGATACCAAAATCACATACCAAACCATTCATTATATACGAGTCATCTTTAACACATACACCAGTGACTCCAGGTTCAGTACAAAAACATTCGTGACAAGGAAAAGAACTACTGTGTGCTATACCTAATGGTCTAAAATAATGGATTACAGAGTGAGTCAGTTTTGGAAAAGTACAGCTTTTGCTTATACTGTATATCAAAAATTTGGAATCATATGATAAAAGTTTGCTCAAAACATTTGTTAGCAGAATAGGATAATTGTGGAAGTCTGAAACATAGCTGAAAAATTTATTGAACATTATCAAAGCCAAGGAAAACATTTTGAAAATATATTTTCCAGGTCTGTCTTAAAGTACAAATGTTTATCTCCAATGTTTGTATTGAATCATCTTGAAATAGATAAGAGCAGATGGCAAACTGTGGTCCCAGTCTAGCTTATGAATGTTTTTTTTTTGATGATTTACAGTTGTAATCACAGCAGGCACAACTAGATAGCTAAATATAAATGATAATGAAAAAGCATCTTTTAATGACTTTACTGTTATATTTCATTTACAATATTTTTTTATTTTTATTCTGTGCTTAAAAATTTAATATCTTGTTAGCATTAAGGTGGAGAGAAGAGAAAGTTGAATACTGTGTTTAGATTCTTCAAATATTTGGAATATTAATAGTCAAAATAAACATCTGACTAAATATATTAACAACAGTTATTTTGTTAGTATATCTTAATTAGGCCTACAATTGCTATGTTTTTTACTTGAATTTTATATTATTTTATATTAGTTAAATTATGTTAAATGTTAAAGTTTTTGTAATTATAATATTTCAATATGATAGGAACATCAAGGAGAAGGAGTAGAACAAATGAGAGAAGAACTTGAAGCTTTACAAGAAGAAAATTTATCTTTAAAAGAACGTTTAGTTGAAATGGGAGTAGGTTTGCCAGTTGAACAAGCTGCTCTTTCAGACACAGAAAAAGAACAATTGTTGTTACGAAAATCTGGATCTATTACAAGTCTTGACACTGAAAAGAAGGATACGGATGAGGTTAGTATTAGAGTATGTTGTATAATAATAAAAATTAAATAATTAGACTCTAACAAATATTATTCTGTTATTTATTATAAACAGAATGGTATTTTTAATTATTACTTTTTGCATAATTTATTGAAATTCTGCTTACTGGGCTGCAATTTTAATAATTTTAATTTTTTTATGATTTTTGTTATTTTGTATATTAAATTTATTCACAGAAGTAGCTCTACATATAGGTAAAAAAAGTGATGCCTAGAGCCTCTTACTTTCAGGAGCCTACAAATTTGAAACTATATTTTGGTATCTATTACATCTTCAGGAAAACCATTTTCAAAATTGATCACAAACTACCCCAATCAACAATGTGTCAAGAGACTTTCTTTACTTTTAATATTGTGCATTGATAGATATTGCTACCGAACTGGACTTTTTTCTATGCAGTTGACCCCCCCCTATAACACTGTTGATAATTCCATTTTATATGAATTCCATGTTGTATGAGTCACTTAGATTTTACAAATATGTGAGCTGTTCACAGTCAGGCACACGTATTTGTAAAATCTAAGTGACTTGTACAACATGAAATTCATATAAAATGGAATTATCAACAGTGTTATAGGGTGTCGACTGTAATTGATGAGTAGACAGTGGAATTTAGGCAAATGCCTATTTTTTTCCTTGGCATATACATGGCTAAGATTTTGTATGAACACTTTTCATGAACATTTAGACCAAAACAATGGTATTTTATAATGCCTAAAAATGCTTATTTTGACGTTGCTGCCTATTTTTGCCTAAAACACAAAGTTTAGTCTGTTTTCATATTTTTAGAAAGTTTTTATTAATTTTTCGTTTCATTTTCAGCAAAGGTTTACTTTAATTCTTAAATTAAACTTCTTAAGTTTCATTTTTTCCTGAAAATGCAATCAGACAAATTCATTTTATTATTATTATTGATTACTTATATTTAAGTCCCAGTGGATGCCTATCCCAAGCAGAAAAAATTAGAATGCAATAATAACGGAAATAAATTACACCCCTGATGCAATTTTATAGTAATAAAATTAAAACTATATGAAATATTTTAAAATAAATTGTTTTATTTAATAAATATAGCATTAGAGATGCTTTATTTGTCATTTTTAGACAGTGGATTTTAGGCAAATGCCTATTTTTTTCCTTAGCATATACATGGCTAAGATTTGTACTAACTACTACAGTGAACATTTCTTCAATATCAAAAAACTTCTGGCCACTTTAATGGACAATGCAGTTTGTGTAACTAAAGCCAAGAAAATTTTGAATGACATTTATGTTCAGAACGAGTTGATGTACATCATGTGTTATTTCACATTCATTGCTGATACTATTACTGCTCTTGAAAGTAGTGGGAAACCTATATATGAACAAATTGATCTCCTCAATAGAGCAAACCAGAAACTTTGTGATGCACCAGGCACTGCTGCAAAAAAAAAGTGAAGAAAGAGTTGAAAGCAGTGCTTCGAAAGAGACTTGGATTAAAGTGCTTGTTTATTGTGGCTGATATTTTGGCAGGAAAGAAGAGCAAAACTGAAAGTAAATTCCCAGTTCATCTTCTTCCAAGGTTGAAATATCTTCAGTAGATGTGGAACACATCTACTGAAGATAATGGATTATATTCTCTTTCTCTGCATATAAATTAATTCTCAGTGACAAACGTTGCAACTTTTCTATTGAAAATTTGGAAAAAATGCTTGTAATATATTATGAAGCTAACTATGGAAAACAGAGTGAATAAAAACTGTAAAGATAATTGTTTGTATACTTTTGTGTTTGCATCATTCTGAATACGTGCATTGTTGTTTGGAATGCATATGTTAAATAAATAAAAAAAATTCATCGTCCTGATAAGTATGTTAATTGTTCATTGTGCGAATTTTGACTGCATATTTTTTGTTTATATAGCCTAAATGACTCAATATAAGAGTTTATTTTAAGCGCCTAAAATGCCACTTTCAACCCTGGGCTAGTGCAGTGGGGTGTTTCGCCACCCCAACGTTTTAAAAGTTGCACTATTCATAGATTTCGCAAGAAATATTTGTGTCCTCTTCAGTAGCTTCATGATTTTATGTATAGAACATGCTCAGAAATTACTACGATGCTGCAGAAATTCCAGTAAGAGAAAAACAACAGTTTTCAGTGGGGTGTCCAAACACCCCACAGTATTAATTACTTTTTTTTTAAATTTTACAAATATTTATTTAGTTTTTTTTATTTTAAAAATAACTATAATGTGACCACATTTATTATTTATAATATAGATATAATAATCAATGTGAATAAAAATAATTTAAGTTTATTTTAATTCAAAATGGCTGACTTTCATAAACACATTGAGAAAATACCAAACATAGCAAGTTGCTTGTCATTTGCACTGAGTGCCAAAGTACAATGTCAGCTATTGAATCAGAGTGACAAAAATGCTTAAAAAACAATTTAAATTTTTACTATTGGTTTAATAATAAGATCTAATGTAATGAGTTTTGATAAATGTTGTTTTTTATTTTCGTGGATTTATGTACTAATATAATATGTAATCATACCTGAATATAATCATATGTATAATGACACATGACTTTACCAAATAAATGAGTAAATCTTTATGAATTTTTACTTACATGGTTTATGGACCCAAAAAAATGTCGGGGTGGACAAACGCTCCACTGCACTAATGCCGGAAAAAACTCAGTTCACTAACGCAGGGTTAAGGGCCTATAGGTCTGCTGTCTATTGATGAGTTCAGCACTACTAAAATCAGGAGAGCAGTTTTGTAGGTGAATTTCTGGACTCCTATTGAATTTTCCAATTTGTTGTAAAACTATTGTATACATTTTATTACTTAGTATGTGTTTTACTGTGTTTTTTATATTAAAAATTTTCATATTTTTGTATACCCAAAATAAATCTATTCATAAACAGAAGTGGACAGAACGCCGACCATTTAATAGAATAAACTTTTGTCATACAGGCATTAAATTACCAATAACTGTTGTCAGATTGACAAGCACTTTCGACGTTAATTATTTTTGACTTCTTCAGGTCATTAAAACAGTTAAAATTCCTTTTTTGATTACAAATAACTGACCATTCCAAGCATATTAACGTTTTGGAATGGAAGCAACAGTAGAACATAAAACAATTTTCAAATAAAAACATGCGCAGTTGTAATGCGCATGTGCAATGCGCCTCCAAATTGTGGAGCTAGATACGTTGGTTTAGACATTTATACAAACTGATCCACAAAGGGGGCAAATCAATTGTGGGGGTGTTGCAGGGATTTAATATGTTGGTAAGGAGGGGCTCCCAAATATATATAATATTTCTGTTATTGCACTGTCTTATTATGGCCACCTCGTCCTGCAACGGCGTATGCTGGTGTTGTAACACCATTCTAGCCAGCTCAGTTTCATTCTTGCCTTCCCTGATAGAATACTGATGCTCTGAAATACGACAAGACAACATTCTAGTTGTCGCACCAATATAATGGGTGCGACCATCCGACATACTTTCTAATGGGATAGAATAAACCCCATTGACCCAATGACAGGGATCTTACTTCCATTCTCGAAAGATCGGGGGTTTATTCTATCCCATTAGAAAGTATGTCGGATGGTCGCACCCACTATATTGGCGCGACAACTAGAATGTTGTCGTGTCGTATTTCAGAGCATCAGTATTCTATCAGGGAAGGCAAGAATGAAACTGAGCTCGCTAGAATGGTGTTACAACACCAGCATACGCCGTTGCAGGACGAGGTGGCCATAATAAGACAGTGCAATAACAGAAATATTATATATATTTGGGAGCCCCTCCTTACCAACATATTAAATCCCTGCAACACCCCCACAATTGATTTGCCCCCTTCGTGGATCAGTTTGTATAAATGTCTAAACCAACGTATCTAGCTCCACAATTTGGAGGCGCATTGCACATGCGCATTACAACTGCGCATGTTTTTATTTGAAAATTGTTTTATGTTCTACTGTTGCTTCCATTCCAAAACGTTAATATGCTTGGAATGGTCAGTTATTTGTAATCAAAAAAGGAATTTTAACTGTTTTAACGACCTGAAGAAGACAAAAATAATTAACGTCAAAAGTGCTTGTCAGTCTGACGACAGTTATTGGTAATTTAATGCCTGTATGACAAAAGTTTATTCTAATAAATTTATTCTCTACCTTCATCACTCTTTTAATGGATCTCAAAAATAAATTTGCCAAGGGCTGCCAATATTTATTCATACCATGTAACTCAGTGTTTCTCAACCTCTAACAAATCGCAGTCCCTTCAACATAGTATCGCCCCTTCAATAAAACCGTTACGTAGTATCGCCCCCTTCACTTCAAAATTCCGATGTTGAGGGCCAAGGCTAATGCCAAATTTGTACTGCATTGAATAGACTAGTGACTAGTATAATGTTATTTGTTTAATTATTGTACGATATAACGAATAAAATATCTAATTATTCTTAATATAATGTTTTACTATATCGCACAGAAAATTGTTTTTTGCCGCCTCAACATGGGAAAATGCCCACATGGGGGCGTTTTTCCATGTTTTCCAGTATTTCAGTATTTATGTACTTTTATGATAAAATGAAAAGTTGCATTAACTTATTGCACACCATCAACTTCAGTATCTTAAAATAATCATCAGATCTGCCACAAGTGTAGTACTTTCATACTTCATGATAAGTTTCTCTTCCACAACAGTTGTTCATATTATAACCTTCCTCTTAGACTTTGTTGCTACTACACACTTCTTAGATGCCATGGTTAATAAGTAAAAGGTTATATTGGGTTGAACAGACAGTTTTTGCATATTTTTGACAGCTGTCTTTACTTAACATAGATGTGCGATCTCATTATAACCAGTTGTGAAATTTAACACAAAACACTAATGTGAGGTTTTATAAGCTTATTTTAAACTTTTTTCTTTATGTTTGAATAAAATCAAGTTGAAATTTCAATGGATAAAATGTGTATTATACTTTAAGTTTCAGAAAGGATATAATTCCATACAAATGTAAAAAAAAAATGTAATGTGTGAGAAAAATGTGGGAAAAATGCTTATAAACTTTGAATGTGTCAGATGTGGTTTAAAAAGTTCAAATAGAACTTTTTAAACCACACCTGACAGTTTTTGTATACCTCTATATATTGTAACTTCTACTTCAAAATTTTCCAAATAGGAAAATTTTGAAGTAGAAGTTACAATATATAGAGGTATACGAGGGCTGTTCGGAAAGTTCGCGGCCTCACATAGAAAAACAAACAAAATAATGTTAAAACTTTTCTTATTTTTCAATGTAATCTCCTCTGTTAGCAATGCACTTATTCCAGCGATGTTCTAGCTTTTTTATGCCATCACAATAGGTCGATTTGTCAAGGTGTGCAAAATACTCGTTCACTTCAGAGATGACTTCGTCATTTGAGTGGAATCTCTTTCCAGCCAAGAATTTTTTTAGGTTTGGAAAAAGGTGGAAGTCACTGGGGGCCAAATCAGGTGAGTACGGTGGATGTGGAACTAATTGGAAGCGAAGTTCGTTTATCTTTTGTTCAGTGATTCTGGCGGAATGTGCAGGTGCATTATCGTGGTGGAACAGAACTTTTTTCTTCTTCAAGTGTGGCCTCTTTTCTTCGATTTCTTTCTTCAGTTTTTCCAAAAGTTCACAGTAATAGACAGCATTAATGGTCTTTCCTCTTTCTAGGTAGTCAATAAAGATGATGCCTTTAGCATCCCAAAAAACCGAGGCCATCACTTTACCCGCTGATGGAACTGTCTTTGCCTTCTTTGGTGGTGGCGAACTGTGGTGTTTCCATTGCTTCGACTGTTCTTTTGTTTCAGGAGTGTAGTAATGGATCCACGTTTCGTCAGTAGTCACAAACCGACGCAAGAAATCCTGTGGGTTTTTCTGGTAGAAGTCCAAACACTCCTTTGACATCAAAGTGCGAACACGTTTTTGCTCGGCGGTCAGCAGATGCGGCACCCACCTTGCTGAGACCTTCGTCATACCCAAATCTTCGGTTAGGATGTGGTGCACTCGGTCGACAGAGATGCCTGTTGTCTCAGCTATCTCACGCGTTTTCAAACGGCGATCTGCTAATACCAAATCGTGAACTTTGTCGATGTTTTCTTCAGTGACAGCAGTTGACGGCCGTCCGCTGCGAGGGTCATCTTCCACACTTTCTCTGCCAGATTTAAAAAGGGCTGTCCATTTTTTCACAGTGGTGTACGAAGGAGCAGACTCTCCTAAAACTTCATCCATGTCAGCTTTGATTTGAGATGGGGTCAACCCTTTTTTCGTCAGGTATTTTATGACCGCACGAGTCTCCGTCTTCTCCATTTTTGACAAAGCATGTGCACACTGACTATCTGCTAAGCTGTCGTGGCAAAACTTTTTGACAAATCAAGCGGAAATTGGTATCGTATCTTTAGCAAAGATGGCTGAATTATTCCCGCCAAAAATTAAATTGATCACAGCGCCGCATATAGGCAAGGCCGCGAACTTTCCGAACAGCCCTCGTACAAAAACTGTTGATGAAAAAAAAAAATTGTAGAAAGAAATTGTTAAAAATTGACAAATAACACACAATAATACAGTATATATATATATAATCAAATACACCAAATAAAGTGTAAAAAAGCCAGAAAATATATGAGTGTAAAGCAAGAGCGAGAGATGACTTGGGCACACAGCAGATTGTATTTACACTTCAAGTGCATTTTTCCACTGCATGCACATTTTGAACTCCAAGGCAAATTTTTGTTGAATTTAGCATTTAAAGTATGAGGTACCAATGTATATACAGTGGTATTCTATACTTTGAACAAATATATATATATACATATACATATTTAAACAATATACATATAGGTCTAATTTAATGAGTAGTTTCTAAGTGATGACCACCATCAATATCTCTACAAAGCTCAAAGTGATCAGTTGTTTTGTAAAATATATTATTAAATCTCTAACTGCATTATTAATTAATACACTCCACCATACCTTTAAAATGCAGTCTACTTTGGATAGTTATCTAACGTTTTCGGTCTAATTTATAGACCTTCTTCAGGATTGATGTAAAAAATTTTAAAAATTTGAACTTTCCCAACAGTAATTCCAACAACGCACTTTAGATAACTATCCAAAGTAGACTGCATTTTAAAGGTATGGTGGAGTGTAGAATATATATTCAAGCATTTTAGATGTTATCTTTTGAATATCTACAATAACATGATTTCAGAGATAAACTAGATTTTTTAATTTCTTTGTGATACATTTCAGTCTTAATGAATATTTAAGGGTGTTATATCATATGAATGTATGTGCTTGCAATTGCCTAAGGCCATTCCAACAACTGGGAATTCAGATGAAATAATCCTAAGCAGTTATTACATAATGGCATGGTGCTTCATCTTGCTGAAAGATTATTGTGTCAAGAATACCATTCTGATAAAGTTGAAGTTTGAGAAATTGTTTGAACATGTCAAGATACGTGATTCTTGTAATTTGTGTTTTCAAAAAAAAATTATAAACCTTTGACTTAGTCAAAACCATTATGACAGTATAAGAATTTTTAAAAATATTTTTATTTTCAAGGATAACTTTTCTTTGGTATTTTATGGTCAAGTTATGAAGATAATAAATCAATTCAAGACACTTTTTTTTGTTAAATAGTACATTTTAAGAATCTATGTTTAAAGCTTTAAGATGTTAACTAATATAATTTATCATCAATTATTCAATTGACATAAGTATATCTCAATAAGAGTTCTATAATTGATAATATAAAACTGTTTCTATGAAAAAAAGTTTCTTAAAAAATATTTGCCTGAGTAGTTTAATGGAGAATAGTATTATAGCAGAACTCAGTTAAGAAGTTTTTCAAGGGACCAATTTAAAAAGACTTAAGCAGAAATGAAAATAATATTGATTATAGAAACAAAAGCTATATATGTCTCACTGCATTACAATAAATGAGGTTTATACAATATCTATTTATTTTGATATTTGCTTAATTTAACTGCTGTTGCCTAAATATGAAATTATGTTTTATGATTCCCACAAATAAAACCACAAATCTATAAATGTACTAAAATTCATTAAATTCTCACAGTAGCATCCACATAGTGAATAGCACTTGTCAGAACTTGCTGTTTGCTGCAAGCATAGTAAGAAAATTGTGAGATCTGTGTAAAAGTAGCCTATAGTCATGCATGAGGAATGAAATTTTGTGTATTTTCATGTGCAATTAAATTTATAACATTTTTCATGGGATATAATTGAAAAACTTCGTGAGTGAATCCATTTTTTTTTATCATGGACAAGGATTTTTGTCTTCTTAAGCAGGAAATTTTCTTAAAAGGCAACATTCTGTACAGAAAAAATTTACACATCTCTTATGGAGAAAAAATTTGGACTTTTGAGATCAGTTTTTTTCCATGTAAGAAGTTTAATGCAGGAACTTCTTAACCTGAGTTCTACTGTATTTAAGAATATTTTAAATTCATTAATTATATTAATATCGTTTAATACATATTCTATTATTATTTTTTAAGATTAATCCTTTATCGAATGAAAGTTTAAATGAAAAATTACCAAACTTAGAAATGGGAGAGGCTTCAGGTGTTTCACTTCCTCGTCCACTCTCTGAATGGGATAAAGCAAGCAGTAGCAGTTTAAGTGAAATGTCCATGGCTTGCCTTCAAGACAGAATTATGCAAATGGAAGAAACACATTACAGGTAATAAAAAGTATTAAAGAATAATTTAATTTGAAATTTATGAAGAACTTAAGCAATTTTATTAAGTTTTGTTATTTAAAGTGTTCCATCTGTAAAAAGAAGCTTACATGATGATTTTGAAATAATAATTTATCTTAGAATCAAAAATATGACATTGTTACTATTTAATATATATTTGTGCAAATGAACAAATTCAGTAAATGGCACCATTTTATAAAACAGAAAAGATTTTTTTTTTCTGGAAGACAAATTTGTTTATTAATATATAATATATTATATATTAAAATAGTAATGTTTTTTAATCCACTTTAAACAACTCGTCTATATCAAGTGTGGGAGAGTTGCATGGCAACATTGATGTAATGAAAAGGGATTTCCATATAAACAGTGTTCTTTTGGTCCCCACAGTGTTTTAGAAGTGAAGTTTGTGGCCAAAGTGGATTGAAGTTATTCTCTATTGCCTTTTTAGCAACAAAACTTGCTAAAAATGTGATAGAGTAATTTTGATTCACTTTAGTCACAAATCTTGCATCTAAACATGTTGTGGGGACCAAAGAACACTGTTTATATGAAAATCCATTTTCATTACATCAATTTTGCCATGCAACTCTCCCATACTTGATATACTGGAGCTGTGAACAGCACTGTTTAACCTTCTAAAATCACAGATTGCATGCTTGACAAAACGGTTCACATTATCAATGGTGCTGCAGTGTATTTATTTATTACTTATTGATTTTTGTATTTTAATACTGTTACTTTTTATTAATATTATTTCTTTGTATATCATTGTTATTTTTAATATTGTATAATCTTCTGATTACTTCAATAATAAGTACAAGTAATAAAAATGCCAGAAATATTTATTTTAAAGTCAGAAGGGAAGTGAGGAGATGTAAAAATTATTAATTATAAAATTTCATTATTTTAAATTGTTGATGCTAAAAGTTTTATATGTAAGAATGATTTGATAATAATATGTATGAATGCAATTTATACTCAGTTCATTAATTTAAAACTATTTGTTTCAGTATTTATTTTGATTTTTTTGGAAAATAAAAAAATAATAGAAAACAATGACTTATGTATTTAATTTATCATTAATTGTTATAATAAACAAAACATTTTCTTGTAGCACAAATGAAGAACTTCAGGCAACATTACAAGAATTAACTGATCTACAAGATCAGTTAACAGATCTTCAACTTGAAAATGAAAGAATGAGTGATGAAAAAGCTGTACTCTTAGAATCTCTTTGTTCCCAAACAGAGAAATTAGAGGAGTGTCGTACTCAAATTACTCAGTTGAAACAACTGTTATTCCAACAGTATGAAGAAGGTGGAGATGTTGTTTCAAATGCTTCAGAACGTGAACATCATCTTGTGGATTTGTTGAAAGTATGAAATTTTATTTGAAAAAGTTATAAGGAATATTTTTTAAAACTCATTAAAAAAGTTTTGAGAGTGAATAAACATTCAAAGAAATTTTTTTTTAATTATAGAATTCACACGAAGAGCGCGAGATGTTGTTAATGAAGCAAGAAGAATTATCATCCACTATACAGGCAGCCAAAGAAGAAGCAATGGGTTATCAGACAGAATTAGTAATGCTTCGGGATCGTGTTCGTTTATTGGAATCGACAGTTGAAAGTATTAATGCAGATAAAAAATTGTTGGATAGACAAAACATCGAAAATCAAGAACAACTATCAGCTAATCAAATAGAAGTTTCACAGCTTAAATTACAATTAGAAAATGAACAACAAAAAGTAATTATTTTCAATATAATGTTTTTTTATTAATAGAGAGAATTTAGTCTTATAAAACATTTTGAATTAGCATAAATAGCCAACTAACTTATCAGAGTAAGTACATTTTAATGATAATTTTTAGTGAAATGTCAATGTGTACATCTGTTTTTTATAAATTTCAATTTTTTATCCATTGGATAAAGACTAAATATTCTCCTCAAAAGTGAAATCACAACACAATGAAGAAATGTGTATGGCCACCTGCAAACTGCAGGACTGGTAGATGTGACAGAGATATGAAAATGATTAAGTTGCATAAACATTAGGTCATGTGGTACCCAGTTTTGGGCTATAAACACCAACAGCCAGCTCAGGTTGTAACTGCTGTCAGCAACTGTTCACAGCAGTCAAAGTTTTGAAGCTTAGAAAATGCCTCAGAGATGACAGTGAGCTGAATACCAGATAGTGAGTTAGTGGCTGGGGAACAAAACCATATGCTGGAGCTGCACAACCTTGATGTATCAATGTGTGCAGTTGCCATGTATATTGAGCACAACCTCCAGCAATGTGTGACATGATGAATACACAGGAACATCTGTAAGCATGCCAAAGATTGCACCAGGGCACAACAGAGTGCACAGACTGGCAGATTTGCTGGATGGCCTTTCGGGGTTTATTTACCATGTCAAGTGACATCTGAAGTTGCCTGTTGCTGTCAATGGGTGCATCTGTGTTCACCCAACCTATTTGCAACAGGTTGCATGAAGTTGGGCTTCAACCAGCAACTAGGGTGCCATCAACCACTCAGCACAGGATAGCATGTCTGGTATGGTGTTGACATCATTGCAACTGGAACACTGAATGGCATTGGGTATTGTGTACAGATGAATCCTGCTACAGTCTATGGAGGAATGATGGCTGTGGATGTGACAGTATCCTGAAAAATGCTATGTGCAAGCCCTTTTTGCTTAGTGTCAGTCTGGTCCCACACCTAGCATCATGGTTTGGGAAGGCAACATGTTCAATCAGTGGACAACCATGGTGCACATTTCCAGTACTCTGAGAGCAGACCAGTATATCACATGAATTGTGATGCCTGTGTATTGGCCATTTGTGCAGGCTGCATCCAACAGTGTTCCAGCAAGACAATGTCTGACTGAACATTGCATGGTGAACTCTCACTAGCCTGAATAAAATTAACATTCTTCCTTGGCCAGCAGCCTCACCAGATCTCTCTCCTATTGAATACTTGTGGGACTTCATTCAATGTGAGGTGCACTGGGGACCAGTGCCTCATACCTTAGACAACATGCACATCACAGTGGACGCAGCTTGGCTAGGGATACCTTAGATAACCATTAATTGTCTCATAGATAGTATGCCTTGCCATATAGTAGCCTGTATAGCTGCCTGTTAAGGCCATATTTGATACTGACAAGGAGAGCCTACGGTTTTGGAGTAACGGATTTTGATGATCTTTGGTGTAGAGGTAGTACACGATGTGAGTGTACTACCTGTAAAATACTAAAGTGCAATACTCAAATATAATCGAGAAAATTGGACTTAAAGTTTTGTTAGCACTTTATATATAAATTATACGTATTTCTATTCGAGCGTCCTGTGGCAGAGTGGTAACGAGTCTGATTCATAAGCTTGAGTTCTCGGGTTCGATTCTCGCGTATAATTTTTTTTTTAATTCATAAATACTTATGATGTATTTATTTATTTACTCATTCATTTATTTCTTATTATTTATTTATTTTAATTTAATTTCTACTATTCCAAGTCTAATATTTTTATACTTTTGTTGACAATAACAGCGCATTCTTGACAC